GAATGAAACCTTCGCTGGTGGCGTTACTGAGGCTTTTACTCGAAGTGTCAACGTCAGCGAAAACAGAAGTTTTTTTTAATACAGATTACGATTTTTTCTAAACTCTGGTTTAATATCCTATAAACAATAATCATTATCTCAAAATTTTGCTTGGAGTAAATCTGAATTTGCTATCTACCGAATCAGCATTGGCTTTTTGCAAGCAGAACACAATTGTCATCGTAGTTTCTATTGTTTTTTGTTATTTTTTCGAAAGTAATCGCAATTAACTATCCGCTGGTGGCATTACTTGGGGTTTCACTCGAAGTGTCAACGATTGCTTAAAATAGAAATTTGTTGAATAAATGTGCAGGTGGACATTGAATTTGTTCCTTGTCTCGAATAAGCAATATTAAGTATCTCTGACTTAAAGCGATTTAGCGTCGTCTCATTCTGCAAGCGAAAAATCGTAAGTAAATATCCGCTGGTGGCGTTACTGAGGGTTTCACTCGAAGTGTCAACGCCAGCGAAAACAGAAGTTTATTAAGTTTGAATCACTGAAACCAGATTTTAGTCGGGCTTCAGGCCTATGAACAACATTCAGTATGATCGCATTTGATATGAATCCCTGAGTATCCATGAAGCTTCTATTCCAGCGACCTAAAATCGAGTAGCTCGGCCAACTGAAGCAAAATTGTAATCTCGAATAACGACTGAGCAGGGGCTTTTAAAAATTTCACCTGAGTGCCAATAGAATTACAATCAAAAAAGAGAATTGTTTGGACCTAGAACTGAAAATGAGTAGCGCCCTACCGCCTAAACACGCCATTCCTTCCTTAGCACACCACTGATTGAATATTTTTTGGGATTCATAAGAAACTTGTGAAAAACGGGCTTGAAAAGCTCATAAATGTTTGTAACGAAGGGTCACTTATTAAAATGCGTTGTTCGATATTGCAAATATCATGGTTCAAGGCCAGTATAGTCAGTGTTTATTTCAAATATTTTGTTCAAACTCTACTACTCTACAGCTTAAGCTTGGAAAACTCAAAATCAGCTCGGCTATGATGCGTATTCAATGCTTGCTGCTGGGTCTAGTTGCGTCGACTCTGTACAAAGTGGTGTTTATTTCCGGTGATTATCACCCGACTCCTGCGTGGGAGTCTTTGACCTTCTCAATTGCGAGTTTTGGTTCCCGTCCTTTGCATATTCGTCCAAGTTTCAACTACCGCTGCAGAGAGAAGAGCTTTTATTACTGTTTACAAGGTTATTTAGCAGACGATAGTGCGAATTATATAGATAATAATTTTGATGATGATGATCTCAGACAACGCCTGGCCCACGAATTCGAAATCATGATTGCTTCGAGATATAGCAGATACAGCTTCTATGGCGTAGTTTCCAGTGTTTCTTCTTGCTGCAACAGCCAGAGATTTCATTATCTTTTTTATGGATATCGAATTTTAGGTCTATCACCTTCGCAGTATTTTGAGAAACTAACCAATTACTCAGATGAAACCAAGCCAATGAATGCTATTCAGTATTATTATGACCCCGGGTTGTGTGTAAATGTTATTACATCTGTCGGGTTTGGGCCAGGAGCACTTCGTCGTAACAGTTTGAACTCAGTTAATCCTTGGAATTTCAACGCACCTCTTATGTTTGTCCTTCCGTTAGTTCCGAGGGCCATCTTTTCATATGAAAATCCGCGTGATACACTTACTTTTGCGTGGTTTAAAAACTTCATTATATGCCGGGCTAACCCATGGCTCTGTGACTACCATAGAGAGGAGATTGAAGTAGATAATCCGCCATCTCCTTCAAGTGAACTTGATATCGAGCTGGAGCGTAGAAGGTTTTCTCGTTTTGCTGTGAATCATTGACGAAGAGTGTGGGCTCCTTTCTTTGAAATTTTTTGAAATTAATGTAATAGGTGAAATTGATCTATTTTATTCAACTTCGCAATGCAAAAACGCAGACTTCAATTTTGGTTATATTATAGTTGATTGACCTATAGGTCATAGTCTTTGGGGAGAGGTTTTGGACGCTTCAGTATAATGTTTTCGCACTGATGCTCATAGATATCTACGGACTTTTCATATACATTTAAATATTTGTTCGCAAAGAATTTAATCGAAGCTGATTCGTTTCTGTGATAAAAAATTAACCAAGATATTTATTTTGCAGAAAAATTGATGATACTTTTGTTATAGTGCATGTGTACAGTTCTGATTTAAATTAACCGGACAAAACGAACAAAGTTTTAAAAATTCAAAGGCATTTTTCTCAAATTGTGTTAAAATTAGACAAAAAGTGAAAAGAACAAAAATTGCTTAGAAATTCACCAAAATTAATCTGGTGCACCTTTTTCCCCGAAATTCTCAATTTTACCCCAAAAATGGATCATTTAGGTTTTTCGTAATTGATCAAGAATTACGCTGAAACTACTTTGTTAATTGATGAAAAAATTATATCACAAGAAACCTTTTGTACAGCCCAACAAAGTTTTAAAAGGGTTAAATCTCCAAAAACCTGTTAGAAAATATTTTTGATTGATATTCAATACTTGTAATTTTTACTATATAAAGCCCAAAATATTTGCCTAAAAACAATTTTTAAACGTTTTGCGCGAATTTTTGGAGATTTAAACTTCTAAAACCTTGTTAGGCTGTACAAAAGGCTTCTTGTGATATAATTTTTTTCATGAATTAACGCGAGTAGTTTCAGCGTAATTCTTGATTAATTTGAAAAAAAAGTCAAAATGACCCATTTTTGGGTAAAATTTCGGTTAAGAGTTTCGGGGAAAAAAGCGCGCCAGATTAATTTTGGTGAATTTCTAAGCAATTTTTGTTCTCTTCACATTGAATCTTATCCCAACCCAATTTGAGAAAATTGCGTTTGAAATTTCAAAGTTTGCTTGTTCTGTCCGGATAATTTAAATCAGCACTGTATACTTGGAGGCCGCAATAAACAATGTGTTTAATATCGAAATAAAGTTATACGAGAAGCATTTTCCTTGGTAAGTAGACACATCTTCGTAAAATAACTTTTTTGTCCAGCTATCTCAAAATTCGGCTTATAATTTTGGGTCATTGATATTTAACATTAGAATAGCATTGATAAAAAAATTAAAGTTTGCGAATGTGTATGTCAAGAGAACTGATAATACGTATCGTTAGATTGAATATCGGCGACTTTTTGTCTAGAAAGACTTATTTCTGTTGCTTTGTAAAATTCTGCGAATTCTGTTGAAAGCAGAAATGTTTTTAAGCTAAAACAAACATTATTTTTTCTTTTGCAGTTTTCACACAAGCGAGCGTCGGTTTGTAATATCAGTACGCTTTTTTCAACCAAAGTAGCACAGTTAAGCGCTAAGTTTGTGCAAAGATCGTAAAACAGTATGATCTAGCTATATCTATTGTTAGGCACACGTCTCTCAACACGAGGTTCATGCGTTCGAATCCCGCTTCTCTCATGATTGGAGGGGTCCCAGTGTCATCCGCCTCCTCAAGGTGGGACCGGTTGCCGCGAAATGGTTGACAGCTCCCTCCCCCACAGTTGGTCCTGCACTAAGCAGGACCGGGGGCTTATTTTAAAAAAATCTAGCTATATCCGCTTTGTTAAAGGACTTTCTTTAGAGCTTAGTATCTAAAAACTGTAGTGAAATTAAAGGAGTGCATTTCAAAATTTTTGGTCAGATTTCGAAGTCACAGAAGTTTTGTCGAATTACAGAGCTCTTTTCTCCCTTTTTTTCGATTGTTAGCTGAGTACAGCTTCGCATACCCCTGGCAATCGCTAGCATCAGCAAAAAAATACAAATTTAATGCAACAGACATCTTTGTGCTTTTTGATGTTTTAAGTATCTGTTCTATTTGAAGTTGGCTTGTTGGTTATGATTTTACCAAAGCAATTTGGCCTCATGTTGCCATTTGATGAGTGAAAAAAGTTTGTGTTTGTATGGAGGGTGAGGGGGATTTGATAATAGCTTTTTACAGATCTTTTTGATTTTTTTTTCGGTTTAAACGGCTCCTGCGACGTTTTTTGGCTTTCTTACCGCTTGGTAAAATTTCATTCGGTGATAATTTCACAATGTATTGTCTTGGCATGCTTTTGTTGCAAAACTTGCTTGCATCGTTTTTTTTTGTTTTTTTTTTCGACTCAGCGGCTTTTATGTTTTGTGTCGCTTCGCTCTGCTTCGCCTCTGTGTCAAAATTTTGAAACATCTGATCTCAAATTATTGGAAATTTAAAAAAAATGTACGCAAAATGGAATAAGCTGTGTTTATCATCTATTTATGTTAGCTATCTGAGTTGATTTTCGATCTTGGTTTTCATGCTAGTTGACATTTCTTTTGGCAATGAAATGATGACTGTTAAGAAGCTATTGTTTTGCCTTATTAAGTTTTTGGTAAATAATATTCAATGAAGTCATAAAATGTTTAAAAATTTCGATTTTTGCCATCTTGTTCTGTATACAAGTCAATCAATCAAATGTGTTTAATTTGACAAATTGTGGGTTTTAAATCCCTGAAGTAGGGTATGTATGATGACTTCAAGTTATCCCGATGGTTGTTTCCTTTTTGTTTGTTTTTGCACTCTGATTCTGCTTGCTGTCTTTCAACCAACTGTTTTAAAGGAGTAAACTCAGAATTGTCCTCTATAGCTAAAAGGAAATACTTGGTGTATAATAATGGTTCATACAGCTTTAAAAAAAGTAAATAGCTGGTGCATTTCAAAATGATCATCTCTGGTGGAAGATCTTGAATTGAATCTTAAACCAGTCGTAGCAAAAATATACTAGACTACTAAATGTCGATTTTTTTTGTGAAAACATTCACGCTTTTCTAGGGCTTCTGATTTGATCCACTTGTCAGTAACGAAAATAACTGCTGCTAAATGAGTTTGTATTTTTTTTACCATCGGCCCTCTTTTACGCGACATGCGGCGCAACAATTTAAATTGAACTTATCTTAATTTCCGTTGTTTCGAATTAGCGTTAATTTTGGAGAAATTTGATTACATTTGCGTTCTTTTGCCATATTACGTTGTTTAGGGGATTGGCGGCGAAGTATCTCCGTCTCTCAGTTAAAAGATGACGTTTTAGAGCCACCCTGCCATGATAAATTATCGTTCCTTGGCGAGACAGCATTTTTCAGCCCGGAAAAAAATGCATATAGTTCTGAACCAGAGAGAAAGCTGCTGTTCTCCGTGAAGATTGAATCAACTCGTATCTTGTTCCTTTTCCTCTCGGATAGAAAGGTTAACCCTAAATAAAAATTTAAGGTCGTTAATGGGCGGTGAAAGTCCGCTTCACATTTTGAACAGATTATCAAAAGTGATCAATTACGACAGTGTTTTAAACGACCAGTTCTCAGAATGCCTGAACCGACAAACGGGTCTGTACATCAAAAGTTATATCAAATCGTCGCTCAGTTCAAGCAATTGCAAAGGAATTTTGTATCATATTATTGCCCGGTCAATTTTACCAAGTTTAAACGGTGGAATCGCTAAACAAGTGTATTTGTTTCAATTCGGAGGACCTTTTCAAGTTTTGAAATTAGTCTCGTTTGCTGAAGCTCTTATTCGTAACCAGAAACAAGGCGAGCTATTCACCAATGATGAGGTCGAAAGTTTAATAAAAGAATCACTGAAGCAATTAATTATTGTTGATTGTGTCACGATAGAAGAGAAAATAGGATATTTGAAATCTTTGACTCAGAAAATAGCAAATATGAAAGTAGCCGATGTTAATCATTTTGTCATCTTGAACCAGTTTTCAATTTTCCACGAATATGAAATGGCAAAGGTTAGTTCAGTCCGCTCCAGTTTTCAAAAGATTAGCTGTATGTTAAAATACTAATATAAGCAAGAATTCAAATGCCCAGAGATTATAGTTATTAAGTCAAATGGAAACAGAGGATAGCCGGTTACTGTGCAAGTAGCACAGAATTTTCCGACCATAGTCTTAAAAACACAAAGTTTTTGGTTCCCTAAATGAAGCTAAAAAAATTCTTTTTGAAGCTAAAAAAATGAAGCAGAAACTAGTTTTACTTGCCTAAAATTAAGTTTCAAGGTCTTAAATTGCGTGCAAAAAACCAAAATACACCCGTTTCTCCCCATTTTTCAAATGGTCGGAACAATAAAACGTGCTCACTGTATACAACGTTTTTACTGTTTATTTAGAATTTCAAAAGTCTTGCTTAAATGATTCCGAGTTATATTCAGACATTATTTTAAGCATGTTTCTGGAGTGCAGGCGGTATATGAAGACCATCAGAAAAAAGTGAGCAGTCTTTTGCAAGAACTTAAGACTTACCAAGTGCCTCTAATCATCGTCGACAGCTTCTACATGGGTGCGTGAAGATTGCAACAAATTTTTAATTTGTCTAAGACCATACACATGATCATGGACACAGGAAAACGGCTCTAGACAACTGCTTTTACGATGCGAAATAATGTTTCCGCTGCAATAATTCATTATAGCTCTCTGGTAATAACTATTGCTTACCCCTTGGTAAAATTGGGAAAGACAAAAAATTGTAAGCTTACATAAATGAAAACGAACCCCCCTCAAATAAAAAATGCTTGTTTCATTGGAAGTTCATGTCTTAGATGAAGAGAAAAGTGGAAAGTGGACAAATCAATACTGCAGAGAGTTTTTCAACAACTTCTCGTTAAGCACACTAAAGGTAATGCAGATGTTCGAAAACAATGGAAGTCCAGTCTTCAGTTTGGAATACAGTAAAGCAAAAAGCCGAGGAAAAACTAAACGAAGTGACTCGAACTTGACAATAAGTCAAGATGTAATAAAGAAAAGAGCAAAAATCCAGAGCGACTTGCTTGTTTTTGATCCAAATTGAAGCATCGTAATTTTATTTGAGTTTTTGTCATGATGATTAATAAATCAGCGTTAGCTAATTGAATGGTTTTCTTTTTCAATGCAAAAACAGATCTAGAATTAAATAAACGCTAACAGTGCCAACGACTTCGACAAATTTTAGAATGAACCCAGACAAAAATTTTTAGTATACTCTAAGAAAAGACGAAACTTTTTTGAAATCGCTTAAAGGAAGTTTCCCATCAGAGACGCTGAGCCAGCCAAGTCTCCACAATTCACTAAAGTTTGTTGAAGTATCGTGATAATAGGACAGTTTTATTGATTTGCGTAGAATTGGCTGACTGACGTAACTTTTGTCGCAATTTTAGCCGCGTGGCTTTTTGTAAGTTCAGGCCATCTTAGGTAGAGCAGTTTGATGATTTATAGAGTTCTACAAAACTGCAACAACCCTAATTTGAGTAAGTTCAAAAGATTTAGTTTTGTGAAATTTTGGCAATCTATTTCGTAGCGTGTGTTAGCGAAGCGAAGCTTCGTCTTTCTGTTGATTCTCAATGCGGGAAAATTATTAGGAAAAACATTTTAAAAGATCCGTGATTTGTAATGCTTGCTCAATGTGAAGGACAAGTTGCAGTTGCCTGTCGACAGAATAATAATTTTTTGATTCTATGATTGAAGCAGTTTCATTCCTTTAAAACCTTTAAAACAGTTTTTGAATGATTCATCTTCGGTTATGGATGTGGATGCATTTTGAGTAATTTAATTGTCGCCAGCTACGAATTTTTTTCCTGCAGTTCTCTAAAAAATCAACTGTAAAACAACCTTTTCACCTTGATGAGTTTAACAAAGTATTTGGCCATTTTTAATAACTACACCATGAGTGTTTAGGGAAGCGCTGAACGAATCGTAGGTGTTCAGGTTGCATAGCAGTTAGTCGCATTAGTTAACAGGTAAGCACGTATATGATAATAAATTAGCCAATCAGAATCGAGATGAGAAAAACGAAAAATTATTGGGCAAAACTTCAAATGTAATAAATAGGAAAATTGAAGTAAAGCAGAAAGACTACAAGCAAATGAAGGTCGAGGTGGGGCTGGTAACTATTACTGTCAACTGTCACTATGGCTAATTTTCGGCCATTGAGATTAGATTAGTTGTTACCCTTTCTAAGTTTCTTTATGAGTGTAGATTTTCTTGTTTCTTAACATTTTTCGACACATCACGCTCACACAACAGAGGTTGATATATGTTTCGTAAGGCGAACAATCGTTTTTGAGGTTATTTTTGAGCGTTGAAAGATTATACAGCAAAAAAGAATTAGTCGATTTTTTCTATTATTTATTTAAATGCGGGCTTCACTATCTCGCCATGCTTCAGCTTTTTCATTGTATTAATTTTTTTATGATTAACAAAAGATTGTTATTTAATTGTCGCCAGCTATGTTAATTAATTCTCGCCAGCTACGAATTTTTTTCCTGCAGTTCTCTAAAAAATCAACTGTAAAACAACCTTTTCACCTTGATGAGTTTAGCAAAGTATTTGGCCATTTTTAATAAATAGAAAACCATGAGTGTTTAGGGAAGCGCTAAACGAATCGTAGGTGTTCAGGTTGCATAGCAGTTAGTCGATTTAGTTAACAGGTCAGCAAGTATATGATAATAAATTAGCCAATCAGAATCGAGATGAGAAAAACGAAAAATTATTGGGCAAAACTTCAAATGTAATAAATAGGAAAATTGAAGTTAAGCAGAAAAACTACAAGCAAATGAAGGTCGAGGTGGGGCTGGTAACTATTACTGTCAACTGTCACTATGGCTAATTTTCGGCCATTGAGATTAGATTGGTTGTTACCCTTTCTAAGTTCCTTTATGAGTGTAGATTGTCTTGTTTCTTAACATTTTTCGACACATCACGCTCACACAACAGAGGTTGATATATGTTTCGTAAGGCGAACAATCGTTTTTGAGATTATTTTTGAGCGTTAAAAGATTATACAGCAAAAAAAATGAATTAGTAGATTTTTTCTATTATTTATTTAAATGCGGGCTTCACTATCTCGCCATGCTTCAGCTTTTTCATTGTTTTATTTTTTTCATGATTAACAAAAGATTGTTGTCATATTTAAGCACTATAGCATTTTGAAATGATTAAGAGTTTTCCAGTTTGAAATCAACGTTTATTTTATCAAGTTTGAAATTAGCAACCCGATAGTAAGATGCTGTCAGGGTTCCTCCAGGCATTGCGAATTTGGCCTTCAATTATGAATACCCGAATCCTTTTAGTTCAGAAAACCTAAAATTTGAAGTTTTAAACCTCTTAGTTTGGTGCTGTCAGGTTTTTTCAGGGTTTGCGAATCTTGCCTCCAAATATGCTCAAATCTTTAGTTTTTGAGATGATTTTTGATGAGACGTTTTTTGATGATTTTTTAAAAACAGATACAAAAGTTTCACAAAGTGGGAATTCCGCAACCCTGTAGCTGGGTGCTTTCAGGGTAGTCTCAGGAGTTGCAAAGGTTTCCTTCGAGTGTGACTGCTGAAATGAATATACAGTCCGAGACATGGCGTTTTTTCAATATTTTTCAAAAACTTGATTTAAAAAATGTTTTGCGAAACCTTAATTCCTAACCTTATGTTGGGGTGATCTGAAGATACTCTCTGAAGTTGCATTTCTTTCCTTAAAGTTTGACTTCTAAGAATCATCTTTGTTTCCGAGATATGCCATTTTCTTACGATTTCTTCAAACTTTTCAAAAAACTTAATCTAAAAAAAACTTAAATAAGTTTGAAATTCTCAGCACTTATATGGGGTTCTGTCAAGATAGTCTCACGAAGTTTTTATTTGGACTCCAAATATGACTTTTCAACACGTTTCACCTTCCTAGATATGACCTCTTTATGATTTTTCAAAAATTTTGAAAAGTTAAATTTCAAAAAAAAAAACTTTTCAAAGTTTGAAAAAATTGTCGGCGCATTGGTGAGATGAAGTCGGGTTACTACCAGCAGTTGTGGCCTCTATCCTATTATTAAAGCTCAAAATGTTTAACGTTTCGAATTTGACGTTTTCAATGATGTTTCAAAAAGTCATTGAACTAGGAATTAAAATAAGAAAAAAAGTCGGATGTTTTCATGCTAATTACTCTGGATTTGTCTTTTGATGGCAGCAAAGAGTATACGTATGAGCTAATGAAAAGAAAGAACTATGTTTAATAAGAGTCTCATTCATGAATTCGGTGTTTTTGCCTATGAACTTGTTACATATGGACAGTGCAGTTGTATGCTCTCGGCCATTTAAGTGTTTTGTTTCAATCTGAAACTCAATAGTTTTGGGGATTTGACCATTTTAATTTGAAAAGAACCTTCAAGTTTAAGTTTTCATCGTTTGATTTTTGAAATCAAACGGAGTTGCATAACATGCTTATTTTAGTTGATTTGCTCCAATAACGTTAGGCGCAAGTGATTGAGATTACAAATAGTCTCAGAACCTTTGGTTAGTTAGTCTAGGATACCTTGTCGTCATATCAAACCCTTTCGATCAAATTTGACGTAGTAAGTTTTTAAACTTGCGAGAGCAAGTGTCTTCGAAATTTCCAAAATACTACACAAACTCACATTAAAGGAAAAATAGTTCCTTACATATTTTTACGTTTCCAACAGGTTTCAAGACCGTTTTTTTAAAGATGAAATATGCTCTTCGGTTTGCGAAAAACGCAGGTGATTATTTAACAGGCTTCCACGAAGCCGAGTTTGAATCACTCTGCAACCTCTTCCATATCACCAATATCACAATCGAAGCCAAAAACGAAGACATCTGGATCGTCAACTGCGATTCCCAGTCTGTAATTGAGAAATTAGTTTCACGATCTGTTTTTCTCAAGACTGCAATCAAATTATTTTGTTTCTCGAACAGCCGAGAGGAATTGTATATCCAATTACAAAACGACAGTATCCTTAGTTCACAAATTGTTAAGTACCTCACCAGCAGTGAAAATGGGTTTAAGGTACTAATTTCAACTGTCAATAAAACCCTGACTGCCTCTGGAAAAATTGATTTAATAGAAGAACTTTTGGGTTGCTTACCGGAATTCGAGATTCAAATAAACCTGAAGGACCCAGGAATAACTTTGCATCTTCTCGAGAATTATGAACACGAAGCCGGTTGTTTGAGCCACTGTTATCTGGGGATATCGTTACCGTGTGAGGAAAGATCAAAGGTTATGACTGAGTTTAGTATCAAGAAGCGACATTTCATCGGAAATACCACAATGGATCCCGTTTTATCTGCAGCTATGAGTAATATTGCTAGAGTTGATACAGGAAACTTAGTTTTGGATCCTTTCGTCGGAACAGGAGGTATAGTCCTTTTATGTGCTTATCACGGAGGATATTGCTTTGGGTCTGACTTGGATTACAAAACAGTTCATGGAGTCAGTAAACCCAGCAGATCCGGTCTTAAAGGTCGCCGAAGGGCAAAGGACGAATGCATCAGAACCAATTTCTATACCCATGGCTTTGAGGAACGCTTTCTGGACGTTTGCGTAAATGATGCTTGTGATATATTTTGGAAAAATGGTAATATTTTTGATGCCATAGTTACAGATCCACCATATGGAATAAGAGAAGGTATTAAAATGATTAATTCAGAGATTAAATTGAATTCAGTGGAATCACACGCTAGCATGCAGCAAAACTCGCCAATTGAAATGTTCAAAAATTTGGTAGACTTTGCGGCAAAACATTTGAAAAAAGAAGGGCGACTTGTTTTCTGGATGCCATCATTGACTACCTTGTCCTCGTTTGAACCCGATCTTCACATTCCAAAACACCCAGGGATGAAGTTTGTCCATTTTTGCTCACAGACAATAACAAACACGTCATCGCGATGTCTGGTTTGTTTGGAGAAAATAGGAGATGACTTCGCCGAAGATACAAAATCGCAAGTATGTGTTGACTATTACGACTTGGGGCCAGAAGTAAAATTCAGAGATGCTTATTTGAACTCTATCACATAAACTATCAACTTAGTTTTAATTCTTAGGTTCTAAATATTGGACTAATTCATATTTTTCTGTATTATTTTGTCGTTATCAAATGATAAGAACGAGAGAAAAGCAATGAATTGACGCACACGGTTTTTGACGAATAAAGAACTAAGCAGGATGCGTTTTCTGAGTAGAAAACAAATGGATCTAAGCTATTATAAGTAGGCTACATTTTCAATCAACCATTAAGCGCCTGCCGTGAATGCTAGGTTTTTGAAAAATAGCATATTGAGTTCCTGGCTTGCTCTGTGGCTCGGCGATGACCACAAGCGATTGCTGACTTTTTGCTTTGAAATATGTATCTGTTAGTCGCTTAGCGATTAACAAAGATGTTAAATTTTTCTGCTATAAATAGCTCCTTGCTATCCGTTAGCGAGTAACAAAGATGTAAGTTTTGACCGAACTATTATGACAGAAATTGTATTAAGGGCAAATACCTAAAACTACCATAAGAGATTTTTTGTCCGAAGGGCCTTAAAATCTTTTTACAAAACAGAATAATTAAGTGGCAGCTAAAAACCAGGTTTGTTAAGCAAAAGGTAGTCTAAAGGGCAAAGTCTGGATTTCTATGCTTCTCTGGGCATGTTATTTATCCCAAGCTTATCACCCCGCGTTTTAACCCTCTTTTTCTTAACCCCCTCTCGTATAGCCCCAGAATTAGATAACCCCACTACAAATTAACCCCTTTTTTAATACGAATTGTTAGTCAAAGTGAAACTTACCTGAAAGGAGTTCGGAACCATAGCATCGGTAAACATAAAACATAAACAAAAGTTTGCTTTTTTCGTTTAGGACTCGTTACTTTTTCTTTCTTGTAAATTGGTGCCCGCTCGAGGCGTTAAGAAAGTTTTTAAAAGGGAGGCAATAAAGTTTTTGAAGGGAGGCGACTTTTTGCAAGTTTGCGATTACTTTCCAAATACTAGGACGTGAACCAATAAAATATGACTGTATGGCATACTTCTCGGCTCAGGCTTAGTTTTTTTGTGTAATTAGATCCAAACTACAGGCAGAGCTCGTCAACGTTTGCAACTTTTTCCGACTCTTTCATAGTGCGTTCGCATATTATTTGAATTTCCTCGACTATTTTACCTTACGAGTTTCCTATTTTTTCTTTTTCGAAATCCAGTGAGGGTAACATTTAAAGTGCTAATGCAAGCTCGTGGTTTGTTTCGTACTCCTTTTTTCAATCCGAATTTGGCAATTTTTCTCATATAATTTTGAGAAAGATGAAAAAAAACATCCAAACAGCTTGGACTCAGGGAATTTTTTTTCGAAACGCTTGAAGAGCGGCCTGCTCGAAATCCAGCAACACTTTTTCAGTTTTGCTGTCAGAGGTTAAGTTTTTTTAGGGCTTCTGAAAAACCATGTTTTAATTTTTTCCGTTTTATTTGGTAATAAGGCATATGTGAAAGCGGGGGCTATTCGGGAAATACTAACATGTATAGAGCAAATTTTATAAAACATTTTAGGAGTAACTTTGAAATTTCTGTCAGCCAACCAAAAAATTTACTGATCGAGCACACGTAGCATTTCTGGGTCGCCTAATAAAATAATCATTTTGTCCACTGTAGCTCGGGTATGTCGAAATTTCTTGTTGCTGGAGAGACTGGTAAAACCTTTTCTCGTTGCTTGCGCATGCATTGTGCAGTTCGAACTAAATTTTCTATAGTTGGTAGGGTTAATTGAGTTGCAATTTTGTCTGCTATGGGCTAAACTGCTGTGGCGACTGCGAGGGTCGGGGTTTTACTCTCGCTCAATTCCTTTATATTTTTCAAATTTAGTCGAGCATCAGGTTTTCTCGTAGATATGTCGTGATTATGCTCGCCCCTCAGTTGAATAAAATTTTCGCCATCCGTAGTTGCTGTTGCTCGGCATTTATCAGTCTGGTTTTTGAGCAGTTCTAGTTAGTAGTGGTTTTGTTTTCACGTTTAAGACAATACTCGTGGCCTAATACCTTTTATATTTGTTTGTCTTTGGAGGATTAAGTAAAATGGAAGGACGCTTCAAACATTATAGCTCATAGAATGGTATAAACAATCGTTCAAGTGTAACGCAGTATAATTTTATGTACAATTTTTAATTTCTTGAGATGCTTTTAATTAGCACCAAGTAGGTTATCTCGGTTTTAAACGCGTGAATGAGATGTTATTTCTCTAACTAAATGAAATGCAATTATTTTTGAGATGCTAGAGGCGTCAAGTGAATTAGGACTGGCTTTTCCGGCCTCAATTCGTGATTTGAATACTCCTGTACTCGTAAAAAGGACTTAGTTTGAAACAAACTGTTGATAATAAAAGGGGCTTTAATTGTTGTGGTGTTATTTTGTTAAGAGGTTATAAAATAGGGGTTTAAAAATTGGGGCTTAAATAACGTGGGGTTAAAGAGTGGGACACCGTTATTTCATTAGTCAGGTTAAATGTGACTGAGTATCATTGATCGTTTCACGTGGAAATGGCGGAAAAAGAACGCAAGCGTCTTCTAGTTTTGAAAGTGGGTTTTTTCCGCTTGCGAGAACAAGTGAGTTATAATCGGGAACTACACCTTTTTCCGCGTAAACAGTTTGCCTTGCTGCAGGCAGGCGACAGGACTCAGTTTCGATTCTTGTCCCTACATTTATTTTATTTTTTACCTGGTTTGTATGTTTACGTTGCTTTTATCATTGAACTGATGCAAAATTCGGTCCCAAGATTTCACCCCAAAAACAGATAATTTTTTCAGTCAATCAAAATTTACGCTTTAACTACGGTCAATTTTTGCAAAAACTATATCAACGTGAGCCTCCTACGTAGCCGAACAAAGTTCAAGAGGGGTATTATCTGCAAAAGTTTGATCAAAATATTTAAAAATTGTTTTAAAATGAACTATTAATGTTTTATGTAGTAAAGTTGACATTTTTGGCTATCAAAGAAAAATGAAAAAATTTATTCAAATTTTTGGAGCGTATGCTCTTCCTAAACTCTGTTGTGCTGCATAAGAGGCTCTTTTTGGGATAGTTTTTTTTATAGTAAATCACCCTGTAGTTGAAGCGTAATTTTTTGGTTGGCTGAAAGAGCCGAAAATGATCCGTTTTTGGGGGTAAACTTTGTGGACTTTATTTTCGCAAAACAAATTGCACCTCATTCTGCTAAATTGCACCTTATTTTAAGCAAGTTTGTCCTGATCACTTTAAACCTTACTTCAACTGAATTTGAGAAAAACGCGTTTTAAATTTCAAATTTTATGGAGAACTATTAAATGGGTTTTAATGTGTCGGTTTGAATTTTTGAACTCTTTGGTCGAACTCATTTTTGAAGTGCAGCTCAAACGAACGCTCATTAACCAGAGTGAACTTCGCGCGCAATATAAATCTTTAAGGATTTTAGGATCCAATATAAGATTATAAGTCCTAAGTCTAAAAAACCTGCGGAAAATTTTCAATCTAATTCAGATTAGCTTAGCTTAAGGAAGAAAAATAATCATAGAACTTTTCTGAAATAGGATCAGCTTAAAGTCTTTTTTTTTGTATTGAAACTGTTGTAAATGTTTTTTTTTTCAGTTAGGCTTTTTTGTTTACAGATTTCGGACTGTAATCTATTATATATCTAAATATGGGCTTTCAACGTCTGATTTTCAACGTATGATTTTTACATGTTCAAAAAAAAGAATTTTTTCACGTTTAAGCTATATCGTATGTTGCAATGGTTAAGATTTTTTCGATTTTCTTGTTTAAATTCAGTGTTTATTTCGTCAAGTTTGAAATTAGCAACCCAATAGTGGGATGCTGTCAGGGTTTCCTCAGGTGTGGAGATTTTGGCCTCCATATAAGAATACCCAAATCCTTTTAGGTTACCGGATTTCTAGAAAACTAAATTCTCAAAAATTTCTGAAATATTGAATTTCTCAACCCTATTTAGGGGGGCTGTCAGGGTACTCTCAAGGGTCGTCAATCTTGCCTCAAAATAATACTTCTCAAATCCTTGTAATTTTCGAGATATGACGTTTTTTTAATGATTTTTTCAAAAATTTTCAAAAAACTTACTTTCAAAACAAATCAAAAACATTAAGAGCTTCATCCCGTAGTTGAAAATGTGAGTGTACTCCCAGAAGTTGAGAATTTGGGCTCTGGTTGTGACTGCTCAAATCCTTGTAGTTTTCGAGATTTGACAGTTATTCAGAAAAATTTTCCAAACAGCTTTTTTTCCAAACGACTGGAATCAAGCAATTATAGTCCATTATTTGAAAAAGGCACTGAGGGTGACCCAAATAGTACAGCGACCCAGCCACTGGGTTGCTGTGCTGTTTGGTTTGCCCTCAGTGCCGGTCCCAAGCCCGGATAAATGGGGAGGGTTTCAAGTCAGGAAGGGCATCCGGTGTGTAAAATCCCCCGTTTCACTGTACTATGACAGCACAAAATCAGCCAATGCCCGCAGTCCCCTGCGGCCCTTAAATGGGCAGAGGGTGCTAAGAATCTCTGGGTTAAACAGCCGTACACACGATCGTAGAGAAGGACTCAAGTTGAAGGTGTGTACTGTAAACGTTGGGACGATGAAGGGAAGATCGCATGAAGTTTCCCGAATGTTAGCAAGAAGAAACGCAGATATCTGCTGCGTACAAGAGGTCCGATACAAAAGAAACAGCACTACTACGCTTGGTGAAGGCTCAGTTAAGTACAAGTTCTCGTACAAGAACTGGCTGAAGATGTCATTGAGGTTGAGAGAATAAGTGACCGTATAATGAGAGTCAAAATAGTGTTTGGTACAACAATTTATAACATCGTCTCAGTATATGCTCCACAAGTTGGCAGACCCAAAACAGAACGCCTTCAGAGAGAAGCTCGAGGACATCCTAGCTACAGTGAGTGGCAACGAGGGCATCATCATTGGGGGAGACCTGAACTGTCACGTGGGAGCAAACATTGTGGGGTACGAAGAAGTCATGGGCATATATGGTTATGGCACTCAGAATGAAGATGGAGCAGCTCTTTTAGATATATGCAAGAATCACCAACTCAGAGTTGCCAACGCATACTTTCGCAAAGAACCTGAGAAATTGATAACTTACAAAAGCGGGGTTATAACAACACAGCTTGACCTCATTTCATGGAGAACTATGCTCGACATCAACTTGTTGAACTGCAAACTGATACCAGGAGAGGAATGCCTAATACAACGTCGCCTAGTAAGAGCAGACTTTAAGTTGAAAGCATGGAAGAAAAAAAATGGAACGGAGTCAAAAGAATCAAAACCTGGAGATTGACAAACCCTGATGTGTGCCAAGAATTCTCCCAGGACGTGCTCTCCTTAACAGGAGACTTTGACGGGACTTGGGAAAAGGCCGAAGCTATAATGATAGAAGCAAGTGAAAAGACCTGTGGACGCACAAAGGGTGGCAGAGGCAGAGAAAGAGAATCATGGTGGTGGAATGACTCAAAGGAGGCAGTGTTAGCAGAAAAGAAAGCGGCATACAAGGTATAGCAGCGCACAGCAGCAGCCACAGACAAGCACATATATAGGCAAATAAACAACAGAACAAAAAAGGTCATTACAAAAGCCAAGGAAGATGCATGGAGGGTATGGAGTGAGGATCTGGAGTCAACAGCTGGACAGCAAAAATGTTCAAGATGGCAACAACAGATGCGCAAGGATCTAAAAGATGTGCTAGACCCCAACTTCATCAAAGTCGCCGGGGATACAATTAAAGTGGAACCTGCTGAAGTGCAGGAAAGATGGAGAGGTTATTTTGAAGATCCATTGAACAGGGAAAACCAAAATATACTTGAGGAAACCCCTGCAGTGCATGGTCCACTAGAAAGGGTCACAAAAGCAGAAGTATCTCTGGCACTGAAACGTATGAAGAGCGGCAAGGCTTCGGGTCCCTCAGAAGTCATCTCAGAAATGTTCAAGATTGCTGACCAGGGTTCTGCTATGTTGTGCTCGGTATTCAACAACATCATGAGAAACGACATAACTCCGGATAAGTGGACGGAGAGCATCACAATACCCTTGTACAAGGGCAAGGGTGATGCTTTGGAGTGTGGCAAATACAGAGGACTCAGGCTATTGGAGCATGGCATGAAGTTCTGGGAGCGTATTCTAATGCGCAGGCTGGGTGACTACATCAAGATCAGCCCACAACAGTTTGGTTTCGCTGCAGGAAAGTCCACAACCGACGCTATCTTCATTGCTCGCCAACTGCAGGAGAAGTATTTGCAGAACAAGAAAGAGCTCCACCATATCTTTGTAGACCTAGAGAAGGCCTTTGATACCAGAATACAAATGGTACCAGAATACCTGGTCAAAGCAGTAATGGGCCTGTACACAAACTCTTCGTCGCGAGTTAGATTTGCTGGTGGTTTGTCTGAGAAACTTCCAATCAGGGTCGGTGTCCATCAAGGCTCGGCATTAAGTCCTCTGCTGTTCAAGATTGTGATGGAAGAAGCCACCAAAGAGGTACGGATAGGTGACCCTTGGGAGCTGTAGTGCAGTGGAGCTCCGTGGGATGAAGGTGAATATTGGCAAAACCAAACTGTTGATATCAGGGAAGAGCAGTAGGGAGTCAACATCATCAGGTCAATATCCCTGTGCAGTGTGTAACCGTGGGGTAGGAGTAAACTCATTTTTCTGCACAAGCTGCAGCAAATGGTGTCACAAGAGATGCACTGGCCTCAACTCATTAGCTGGTATCACTGGGTACACTTGTCCTGTGTGCAGTGGTACTCAGCAACCAAGGACGTGGATAGATGAATCCATAATATTGGACTCAGGTACAGTAGAGGAGGTCGGCAAGTTCTGCTAGCTGGGGGACATGCTGCACTCTGAAGGAGGAGCTGAAAGAGCTGTCAGACATAGGATCTCCGTTGCTTGGTTTAATAGGAGGGAACTGAACAGCTTGCTATGCAATGCCACCGTCTCTCTGAAGCATCGGGCAAGGGCATAAAATACCTGCATCCGCTCAACCATCTTGTATGGAGCTGCAACGTGGGCTCTCACACTTAGAGAAGAACAGTTATTACAGAGCTGTGACCGCCGGATGCTCAAAATGGTCTGCAATGTGTCGCTGTCAGACCGAATGCCAAGCTCAGAAACCCTCAGAAGATGTGGTCTAGAGGATATTCTGCTGATGATAAGAAAGCGAAGATTGACCTGGTTTGGCCAAATCCACAGAAGACAAGATCAAGATAACCCGCTAAGGAAAATAATGCACACAGAGGCACCAGGTCGCAGACCAAGAGGAAGACCCAAGAACACCTGGAAAGAGTGCCTCAAGTAAGATATGGCAGTCGCTGGTGTAAACGAGACTGCAGCTGGAGACCGAGTTGAATAGAGAGCTGTCACAAACCGTCTAACCTCTTCAGAAGAAGGGACAAGAAGACGTTAAAAGGAAAAGTAAAAAGTAAAGTAAGTATTTGGAACAGGCGATAAATATAATGTTACAAATACAGACCGGTATCCTTTTTATCATTAGTTTCTAAAATTCTAAAGAGGATTATTTTTAGACGACTCTATGATCATTACCATACTTTTTTCATGCAGCCCAGCTTGGCTTTAGGAAAAGACGACCAACGTCTCTTCAATTAATCATCTTTTTGCAAAAAGTATACCAGGGCATTGAAAGTCAAATTGATGTTGATATAATCTTTACTGACTACTGTTGGGCTTTTGACAGAGTGGATCATGGTCTGCTTTTGAAAAAACTCTGTGAAACTGGCATCAGAAACAAGCTCCTTAAGTTAATCGAATCATATCTGACAAATCGTGTACAAGTTGTGCGCATATGTGGAGTATACTCGTCTACAATTAAAATTACTAGCGGTGTCCCGCATGGAACTGTTTTGGGGTCCATACTATGTCTTGTTTTTGTTAACGACCTTCCGAAAATGTGTGCACAATTATTTCCCCTACTTTTTGCCGATGACGCCAAATTTCTAAGCGTGGGTTTAAGCTCAATAGATATTCAAAGAGATTTAAATGCGTTGTATGACTGGACCGTTAGAAACATCATGCATTTCAAAATGGATAAATGCTTCCTAATCAAAATGTGCAAAAATTAAAAACAACTCCCTATCGGAAATGAAGTGATTAAAACCGGGGAAACTCAATCTGATTTGGGCCATATGCTTTCCTGCGACTTTAAATGGAATTTGCAAATAAATTAAGTTTGCTTCAAAGCAATTCGTGTTTTGCACATGATAAAAAGAAACGAACCAAGTCTGAGACCAAAAGGAAAGATAGATTTGTATAAAACTATGATCATACCAATACTCAAGTACGCAAGTCTCTGTAATGGAGTGAGTAAATATATTATTACGGAGCTTGAAAATGTGCAAAGGCGTATAGTTAAATGGTTAATACCCCACATGGATTCGTACAAAGATCGGTTAATGGAAATATCACAACACCCGCTGCAAATGTTCATACAGATAAGCAACCTTCTGCTGCTACCAAAATTTTAATCGAAAAAATAAGACGCTGAGATGTTAGACGTTCCATCGTACGGCAGTTCCTCGCGTGGCTGTATGTTTCAGCTCCAGAGGCCAAACAAGAAATTTTTTGAGGACGGTTTTTTTAGCAAACATGTCGGCTATCGATTCAATCAAAATTTACGAGAGAAACAAACGGACCGAAGAAGCGAATATTGTTTTTATTTTGGAGAAAAATTGAGAAGGCCTACGAACAATTGAACATGGGTACATGGAAAATAGTTTGCGATTGAACACTTAACGACTGTAGAAGCACAACTTCGCTGTAGAACAAATAACTGACGTGGGAAACCCCTTGTGCTATGTGCACAAAAGCCGTACTACTACTACTGCTACTACTACTATTACTACTGACGTTTTTTGCGATTTTTCAAAAAGTTTTCAGAAAAGTTTATTTATTTTTTTCTTCAAAATTTGGAGCTCCCAAATCGGTAGTGGGGGCTGTCAGATTATTCTCAGGGGTTGCGAAGCGTGCCTCCAAATATGACTGTTCAAATCTGGTTAATTTTCCAGATATGACGTTTTTTTTGTGATTTTTCAAAAAATTTTCACAAAGTTTGGATGCTGTCAGGGTACGCTCAAAGGATGCAGAATTTCCAATATTGCGGTTTTTTATGAGTTGTTAAAAATTCGAAGCACCGGAGGTGCGTTACACGCTAATTCTTAAAATTTATTTTGAGATTAATTTTTTGGCTGCTGAATCAGTCTTCAAGCCATCATAGCGAATGGTGTCAAGGTTTTTAAGGTTCAAATCCACTAGGAAAAAGACTGAACGAGCTGATCAGTTATTTCTTAAGAGAATCGCTGTTACACCCCCTGATCAGTTCAGTTATTAATTGCAATTTTTTGAATTCATTTCTTGTTGGCCTGACATTTGTTTCTCATACTAGAAACAAACACAGGTTATAAGAAGTATTGATTTGTCAACCTTGTGATAAAGTTCGCTCCCTGGTAGAATGCGCGATTCCCCTTTTAAATGTTTTAGGTCCCTCCCGTGTGCCTTTTAAAGAATTGCTATCAGCTGAAAGTATGTATTTTTGGTGAACCGTTTTGACTTTGATAACGATTTATTGGATTTCTTAGGAAGGCTTGGTTGCATTGGTTCTTATAGTTATTCAAAAATGTACATATCTTCAGTCGAAAATGTTTGTAGGCAACTTAGAAAAGTTTTGTTGTCATAAGAATTATGAGCAGCACTTTGTTTTGGTTCATCCCAATGGCAAAGTTATCTTTCAGATAGGTAAACTTGTATTTAACAGGCTCTTCCTGTTTTGGGGCATGTGTTGCAAGTATTCCCAAATCCTGGAGTCGCATCATGAAATATGAATCATTGAAACCGTGATTTTTGATCACGTCCTGGTAAAACGTTGCACTGTAACGTGGATATTTCTGTTGCGTTGTCGAGGCAAAGTTGGTACAGAACAGTCCGAACTTCTTAGTGTAGCCACTTCCGAAATTGTAGGTGTCCATAAGTGACCAGTAAATGTAACCAGTTATGTTTATCTTATCCTCTACTATGCTTTTGTAGATCTGATTTAAATGAGCCGTGACGTATTTAACTCTGTCTAAGTCAATCGAGTTGTTTGCACATGTTGCTGGCGGGGATGCATATCCGTTCTCGGTTATTATTATTTCGAAATCACTTGATACTTTTTGGCCATAATTATCCATCACCCATTTAACAGATTTGCGCAATCCTTGTGGGAAAACTTTGTAGCCTCCGAATCCACTCATCGTTACCCACCCTTCGGGAATTGTTGTGTTCACTGATTGATCGTTTTTGATACTCGGTTCGTCGCTATTTATTTGTGGGATGTAACTTACATGTTTGGCGCCGTAGTAGTTCAAACCTAGAAAGTCAAGAGATCCCAAATTCTGTTGTTTTTGTTCCTCGGTGAATTCAGGAAGACGTGATTCAGCGAAGCCTTGTTTTAGACTTTGTCGACCAATGACCTCTTTCATGATTCGGGGGTAGTCTCCGTTCTTAAGAAGTGGGGAGAGCATCCATCCAATTCGGAATAGTAGAACTTTTTCTTGTGCTTCTTTGTTCTTCTTTGATTTATCTACGGGCTCGAACCAATTAGTACCTTTGGCAGATTCGACCCATTTCAGTTTTATTTCTTTTTTTGAAACCTTTTCCGTGTCAAACTAAATATTTGTATTCAGAAACAGTGCATTTGATAGAAACACTAACGCTCTAATAAAAGCGGCGCTCTAAAACTTCCGAGTCCAAAAACCAAAAAACTTTTGACCAAAAACCAATAAATCAATGCGCGTTCCCTTTCCAAATTTTGTGTATTTTGGCGCCGAAAGCGCTTTAAGAATATTTTTTGAATTGGTCCACTAATAATGAATACTGGGATGCCCTAATCATATCCCTGAAATTGGCGTCCGCTCCACCCCTTTCGCCCTTACTCGAACCCCACTCGCCTTAAATCCGCCCCCTGCTGAGTGATATAAATAGCGCCTAGAAGCGAATTGCCTGGTCCAATAAGTTACCTTGGTAAAATCACCGCCTACGTGTTTTAAATTGTTTATTAACGATACAACAAAATCCAAACTAGTATAATAAGAAGTTTCCAATCACCCTTAATTTTTCGGAAATAATCGATGAAAAATTTTTGGTTCAGTTAAAATTTTTGGTTCAGTTAGCTTAAAGATTCCTCACTTCAAAAGTTAGGGTAATGTTTTTCTTTTTGTATTGATTTTAAGCGCATGTTGACGGTGACGTCCCTTATGATGGAGAGAACGAACGATGGCAAAGTAAATTCAGCCAGTCCGAA